CCCGATGCGGGACTCGATCCCGGGACTCCAGGATCATGACCTGAGCCGAAGGCAGTCGCTTAACCAACTGAGCCACCCAGGCGCCCCTAAAAAAATTTATGGGATTTTAATTGCTATTGCATTGAAAACTGCAGATAAGGAGAAAAGTGAGCACTTTATAATATTCACTCTTCCAATCCAGGAACATAGTGTATCTCTATTAATTTGTGACTTTTTAAAAATTTCCCAATAATATTTTGTCATTGTCCATGTAGAGGTCTTGCCTTGGCCATCTGGGTGCCTGCTGCCCATTGGGCCTGGGGATGGAGGGAGCCTCCGGACAGAGCTGCGTGTGCACTGCCCAGGACTGTGTTCCTTCCTGCTCAACTGCTTTAGCCACCACTGTTATTGGTGCCCCGTCTGTCAGCTGAGGTCCTGAAGGTCCTTGCTGTCAACAGAGGTGACCTCTAGAATGCATACTTACCTTGGCTCCTCCTCTTTCCTTATTTCCTCTACATTCATGCCTTCACGGTGCTTCCTAGGATCACCCCCCTCCCCATTAACCACCCAGAGGACCTGCCCCAGGCTCTGCTTTGGAAGAACTCATATGAAGGTCCCACTTTGCAAGTGGAAGTTTTTACTGCTGGGTCCAGACTGAATCCTAGCCCTCTGAGAGCTTCTAAATCTCCGCACCGCATCTGGGGCTCTCCATGGCCACTCTCTGATTGGCTTCTTGCTTCTAAGCGCCTGTTTATAAATGGTGGAAAACGATGCTGAATATCAGCTTCTCCTCTGCACTTCCTTTCTTGCCCAGATCTTGGACCCTCATACCCTAATTGCCTTGGCAGCTGTCCAATGCCTTTAAAATCAATTTTAATAGGTATTTATCAAATGTTTCTAGCTGTCAGCAAGATAGTCACTTTGTCATGAACCAGACTGCCCTAGCTGGAAATATAATCTTGGTTGTTTTGTTTTTGGTTTTTGTTTGTTTTTAATAGCAGAAAAAAAACTAGGAGTTACTTATGGTTTCACTGTCCCTGGTTAAGCCCACCTCCACTCAGCCCCAGACAGTACAATGCACACCAAGAAGTGCCCATATCTCTCCGTACTTCTTAATTGGTGTCAAATGAGCAGCTCTAGAATTTTCTGTGTGTCTTTTTAGTTAAAGAAATTAGAGGAAGGATGGTAGGTAAGAATCAATAAAAATCTTTCTATTACCTGTCCACGCCGAAACTTGACTTTGTTATTTTGGGATTGATGAAGCCTTCGGTTCCCTGAATCTCCTCTGGTGCCAATGAGGTTGATAAGCACATTAGACTCTGTCTCTGCACCTGGCTTCCTGCCCGTGTACATGTAGATCTCATAAACCACCACTGAAATGTTAGAAATCCGATATTATCTTTCTCATTTTTATTTTCTCTCTAAATGTATTAGATACCCTGAAAAACAATCAGAATGTTGCCTAATCTAGCTGACATGAGTTTCTCTGTGGTGGTCGGTCCCAGCTCTTTTCCTCACACAGACCCCATTCAAACAGACTCTCGACTGCCCCATGTTTACCTCATTCGTAAGACTCAGCTATTTCCCAAACTACAGTTTCAAAATAATTATTGCTAGTAATTATGCACTTTCATTAACCACTATACTTTCACCGTTATTATGAAAAGTTGTATTTAAAAAAAAAAAAAACTCTCCTCTCTCTTAATTAGATGAAAGTGGCAACTTTCCCCCCGAAGTTTGGCTATTCTAATCACAGCTGGTCACTCATGCTGCTATTCACAAAGATCACTACTCCAATAATGGATATTTTTAATGGCACTCTTGAGAGAGAAAAAAATACAAAGATCTTAGAGAGATACAAATTTAAATTTTTAAAAAAGATAGCAGGGAGGTACCAACGAATTATAATTCACCATATTTGACCTTAGAATTAACGCAATTTCTGAGACACTGGTAGAAGTCGCTAATTAGAAAAAAGATTGTTCTTGCTGATACAACTAATATGAATAATATCTTGGACACAATGAGTACTTTTAATTCCAGATTCTAGAACGCTTTATAACTCTGTGCAATTGAACAGTTGCATTTATAGAAATTCACATTAACATTTTCCAAAGAACTCAGACATGAAAATCCAACAAGTAAGAAAACAAGGTAAGTGAGAAACATTGCCTGTTTCCATCATGCCTGACCTTTAAAAAGACAAATGTGGTATACTGGGAAATGGTGTAAGCAGAGAAGATAAATCAGTTTCTTTGAGCAGTCTTACATATTCTAAAATACCCCAGAGTGAAACCCAGCTGAGCTTAAGCAGAAAATTAGAACACTTCTCATGAATTTAGGACAACCAAAGAAATCTTTTAAACTCCCTATAAAGAAGATCTGGTCTTACAACCTGGGTAACTGCCTGAACTGAATTAAGCCAAAATTTATGCTAGAATTCTTCATGAAAACAAGTATGTAGACAGGCATGATCGGAAGCCTTAATAGGGAAGCCTTGCTTCTGTTTACTGAGAATTTTTTTGTTGTTTCAGAGGAAGAGTGAACTTGTTTACAAATTTTTTAAAAATGACATTTAAAATATTAAAACACTTCTAAAATTAAAAAAAATTGTTAAAGGTCTAAAAAAGGACATATCAAAAATTATTTAGGACAAAGATCATATACTTAGGGCACAAAGAACAACACTCAGTGCTCCCTCAAGCAATATAGACTGTACACATTGTACAACCTATGTACCCATTGTCCCATGATCAAATCATGCAGCTTGCTTGCTACCTACACACAACTTAAATATTCGTAACTTTGTATTATTCCCAGAAGCTACTATAAGTTAAGTTTAGTGCACAAGCACCAAAAAAAAAAAAAAAAAAAAACACTTGCCACCTAAAATTCAAAGAGAATTAAATGTACCCCATATTTAGAACAAGGTGGATACCATAGTTGAGCACTAACTTTTATTCTTTGAGATTCTCTCTATCTCAAAAAGAGTTACATAGTTTGAATTGGAAATTGAAAGAAAACATATAATCCTACTCAGAGAAACAGACATTTGCTGCAATCTTTAACATTGACTCAACTTTAATTGTACAGTATTACATAATCCACTAAGCATTTGCTGTAGTTTTGCAACAAAAGCACAATAGATTCTAAGTCCAAACCTTTTCATGATCCTTAAGGCAATACAAAATTCTTCCTTTAAAGTAAAGAAAGGGAGAATTTAAGGAATACCTAGTTAACATGTTGATTAGATGCACCCTAAAATATTATGTGTTTTAAACAAGTCTTAGCAAGTGAAGATTCGGAGAATTCTTTGTTCAGTCTCTCTCCTTGGGTGTGAAAGTCAGGTCTCAATGTTGTTGATTCAAAGGCAGGGCCATACTGTTCTAGCTAAAGGACCTGCATTGTTGTAAAAAAATGTAGAAGGCTAACAAATTATCTCTATTCCAAGAGAGGGACCCGCCACACAGGGAGGGGAAATCCTGAGAGAGGGCAACAGTAAGTAAAAAATGTGAGTTAGAAGAAAATTTATAATTACTTCAAAATACTTGAAAAATTCAAGGCTGGGTTTCTAGACATGGATGTTATACAGAATGGAAGAGATCATTTTACTTGAACATATTCAAAGACAAGTATTACTAATCAATGATTCAGCTGCAAATAACTTTTTTAAAGCACCAGATTTTAAGAAGTTAATATACATCTCTCACCATGATTTAGCTAAAAGTATTGAAAGAGTTAACTTGTTGCTTTAGGTTATCTGTAAATATTGGGCATTTTTTGCCCCCAATTTTCTAATGTTCTTTTTACCATAGTTGATGCTAAATTTTTCTTTCAGACAATGAGTCAGGAGCCTCAGCTGCTGTGAGCCTTACTCACTCAGACAAAATGGGCCATAAGCACCCAATAATAACATTGCTTGTCCTCCTGTTTGCCATAACTATCATCCAATTCAGTTCATAGCTAAACTATATATTTTCACCATGGGGGGGGAGGGCATTTGTTTCACTTGTGTTCTCAATGTCATCACCTTCAACTCTCTCACCCTTATATTTACCTATACTTACAGTCATTTCAAAACTTTTCCCATCTTTCAAGGAATGCATAGCACATGGATTACTGCCAAAGCTTAGCATTCTTTGGGCTGACAAACTTGTGGCCTACATAATAAGATTTAACATCACCACATTAGTGACACAAAAATCTCTCAAATTTTAACCTGCAGGTTGGGTTTTGTTTTTTTTTTTCCCTCAGATATCATTTTAGGCCAGAATCTGTGCCAAGCGTTTGTTAATGTTGATTTATCTGCATCAACTCCAAGCATTAACATCCCCATAAATAGTATCCTTAAGATTTCCTTTCAAGAAATCTTGAATTCTTTAGTCTCTGCTTACTACAGAAAGCATAGAGTTAAATATATATATATTTGTTCTTCATAGGGAGATATATAATTTCTTAACCACAAGAATATCTTAAAAATATCATATGGCTGGGAAGGGGGCTGAAAAAAATTCCTCAAATGTGATTTTTCACTGGAAGTTTAGGAGAAGGAAAACAAAGCCATGGTAGGACATGTGTTTCCTTTAGCAGAAGAGGGAGGAGGTGATACCTAAAGAGGAAGTGGAATGAGATGCCTCAGGGATAGCCACACCAAGGGTCCTCTTCACATCTGAGGGTGACATCCAGGAACTGAGGATGACATAGAGTAGGGACGGGAAGAATGAGAATTTTGAATTGACCAATTTTTGACCAAAAGAAACTAAGCTTTATATTGGAAGTGACAAAGCTTATTTGGAGTTACAATGATTAAGATTTCCATCATCCATGGAAATAGGGGCTTGGATTACTTTTATGTCAGGTTTGTAGAAATATGATTTTCATGTGGCAAAAATCACTCTTTTAAGGTATACGGTTTGATGAGTGCTGGGAAATGTTTACAAGTCCTGTAACTACCACCACCATCAAGATAGAGAATATTTCTATCACCACAAAAAGTTTACCTAGGAGGGGTGTGATTTTAATCAGCTATGAAGCATTTTTGCACCCCTCAAAGTCATGATTGTGAAGATTCAAATCCATGACATGATGATAAAAACAATGCAGAGGGAGTAACCTGGAGGATATCCAGAAGGATTGTCTCACACCTATACCTGCCTGATTTTTGAATGAACAGGTAAAGGAACTGAATCCAATTAACTGTTTATAAAATATATTATATTTAGTATGGTCCTCTAATTTTAATCTGAATTGCATTTGAAGGATCACCTCTTAATATTTTATCATGCCAAGAAGTTTTTCATTCCCGTGGTAGCCCATTTCTTGATTACCCAAGGTACCATATACTCAAGGTGTATGCTGATGAGGCAGGCTTTTCACAAAGTTACTGGAATGGAATGTTTTAAATATTTAGACACCAGAAGTTTATTTGCAGAACTAAATGGAATCCATAGGGTCATGGAGGGCCAGTGTATGGTTCAGGAGGAAAGGACCACCACTAACCTGATTTAAGATGTCAAGATTGAACTGAAGAAGTACAGATGACCAAATAAAGTCAGCCCCAGAAGTAAATATGGAAAGAAGCAGGCTGCTGCCTTATTCCACAGTCTGCCATTCATTAGTATTAGGATGTCATAATAAAATAGTTGAGCCAGGACATTTTCCTCCTACATTAAAACAGCTACTGCCAGAGAAATAGCCTAAAGGGAAACAATTCTCTCAATTTAGGATGATTTTGAATAAATCATGAAAGAATATTTGGTGATTCTGTTATGAAAGTCACCTGAGATCATCGATGCTCTATGAATCAGTTGGCTGTGTTCACAGATTTGTCTGTAGTCCAAGCCATGGTCTGCCCTCGCGCTGAACACCCCCCCCACCACCAAGGAGTGCACGTACCTGGGTACTGGGCGTCTTGGTCTCCCCTCCTAAATCTCACATGCTGTAAGTGCAGGGCTTACATCTTTTTCAGTTCTGAACCCCCAGCTCCTAGTACATGTACACATACACACGTAATGTTTACTGAAGAGGACTGAATAAATGAATGCTTATTAATCCACCCATCTATCAAAAAAATGCTGTGTACTGATATCTGCTGGTTGCCCTAAAAACCGCTCAAGTATGAATCATCATCTAGAATGTGCTATGGCTCCTCTGCACCCAGAACTGTACCTTAAACCAAGGCTACCTTCCCAGGCCCTTTTGCTCCCAATTTGCTCTCATTCCCCAGTTTCTTTCAGGGTCCACTTGTTTCTGGCCCTTTGGCTTTGTCTCCAAGGTCTGTATGTGTAGGAGGGGACGAGCGAATTTGGCCTCTCAGACTCTGACCGTGAAGGGTCCGGAGAGTACCAGCAGTCCCAAAAAGTGACTGCAGAAG